TCGAATTCATGTCCACTGAGTTGGTGATGCTATCTAATCTTCACACCCTCTGCCACCCCCTTCTCCTCCAGCCTTCAATCTTTCCCAGCATCAGGGTCTTTTCCAATGAGTCAATTCTTTGCATCAGGTGGCTAAAGTATTGGAGATTCAGCTTCAGCATCAGTCCTTCCATTCAGGGTTAATTTCCTTTAGGATTGATTGGTTTGATCTTGCTGTCCAAGGGACTGTCAAGAGTCTTCTCCAGCACCACAGTTCGAAAGCATCAATTGTTCAGCATTCAACCTTCTTTATGGTCCAACTCTCACATCCATACATGACTACTGGAAAAATGATAGCTTTGACAATATGGGCCTTTGCCAGCAAAGTGATGTCTCTGCTTTTTAATATGCTGTCTAGGTTTGTCATAGCTTTTCTTCCAAGTAGCAAACATCTTGTAATTTCATGGCTACAGTAACATGCTAAAACAAATTAATATTTTTTTAAGTCATATGAGAACAACTTTGTTAGTAACAATACAATGAAAAACAGAAATAAATAAACAGAACAAAAAATAGCACCCCTCCCCCCCAGCCCCTGGGAAGCTTTCATTCATTCCAGAGGAAGGAATAAAATGTATTGAGCTCCAATAGTATGTTAGAAACACTGCTTTACATTTCATATATATTATTTGATTCTCACAACAAACTTGTGAGGCAATATTACTTTCCCAAATTTATGTATTAGAATGCAGATTCTAAAAGATTATATAACTTATCTCCATGTGAACTCTCCAAAGTTATAAGGACTTTATTTCAGATACTAATGAACTAGAGTCAATCATTTTAAAAATCAAATTTATTGAGGTGTAATTTACATTTAAGAAAATGTTTGCACTTATTGACAGCTTCCCAGGTGGTGCTAGTGGTAAAGAACCTGCCTCCCAATGCAGAGATGTAAGAGACACGGGCTCAATCCATGGGTCGAGAAGATCCCCCAGGAGGAGGAAATAGCAAAACACTCCAGTATTCTCTTTTCTTTTTATTTTCTTTTTATCTTTTTATTGAAGGATAAATTGCTTTATGGAATTTTATTGTTTTCTGTCATACCTCAATATGAGTCAGCCATAGGTACACATATATCCCCTCCCTTTTGAANAGCCAGAGGGATCAAGCTTCCTGACTTCAGATTATACTACAAAGCTGCAGTCATCAAGACAGTATGGTACTGGCACAAAGACAGAAATATAGACCCACAGAACAAGATAGAAAGCCCAGAAAAAACCCATGCACTTATGGGTGCCTTATTTTTGACAAAAGAGGCAAGAATATACAATGAGGCAAAGACAGCCTCTTCAATAAATGGTGCTGGGAAAACTGGACAGCTACATGTAAAATAATGAAATTAGAACACTTCCAAACACCATACACAAAGATAAATTAAAAATGGGTCAAAGACCTAAATGTAAGACCAGAAACTGTAAAACTCTTAGAGGAAAACATAGGTAGAACACTTGATGACGTAAATCAAAGCAAGATCCTCTATGACCCACCTCCTAGAGTAATGGAAATAAAAACAAAAGTAAACACGTGGGACCTGATTAAACTTAAAAGCTTTTGCACAGCAAAGTAAACTATAAGCAAGGTGAAAAGACAACCCTCAGAATGGGAGAAAATAATAACAAATGTAACTGACAAAGGATTAATTTCCAAAATATACAAGCAGTTCATACAACTCAATACCAGGAAAACAACCCAATCAAAAAATGGGGAAAAGAACTGAACAGACATTTCTCCAAAGAAGGTACACAGATGGCCAACAAACACATGAAAAGATGCTCAACATCGCTCATTATTAGATAAATGCAAATCAAAACCACAATGAGATATCACTTCACACCGGTCAGAATGGCCATCATCAAAATCCTACAAACAATAAATGCTGGAGAGGGTGTGGAGAAAAGGGAACAGTCTTGCACTGTTGGTGGGAATGTAAATTGATGCAGCCACTATGGAAGACGGTATGCAGATTCCTTAAAAAAGTAGGAATAAAACCACTCCAGTATTCTTGCCTAGAGAATGCCACGGAGACAGGAGCCTGGAGGGCTACAGTCCATGGGGCCACAAAAAATCGGACACTACTGTTGCGACTTAACATTCATTTATTATATACTTTGATGAGTTGTATTAGTTTCCTAGTCCTGCTGTAATGAAGTACCACAAAATGAGTTGTTAAAGCAACAGAAATTTATTGCTGAAACTTAGTCACAGTTCTGGAGACTAGAAGTCCCAGATCAAGGTTCTGGCAGGGCCATGCTCCCTCTGAATGCTCCAGGGAATGACTTATTCCATGTCTCGCTTCTATCTTCTGTTGGTTTGATGACATTCTTGTGCATTTCCTTGGCATGTGGCATAAAGCCAATACACATATGACATCTCCTTTGTGTGTGCATGTGTCCAAATTTCCCTTTTTATGAGTACAGAAGTCATCCACAATGACCTCATCTTAACTGATGACATCAGCAATGACTCTATTTCCAAATAAGGTACCACATTACTAGTACTGGGGATTAAGATTTAAATGTGAATTTTGGAGAACACAATTAAACTACAAGAGTGTTGACAAATGTATACACTTGCATTTACTACCATCATAAGTAGATATAAAACATTTCCATATCCCCCTCCCCCAATTTTGTGGTGCTTATTCCCAGTCAATCTGCCAAATGCCCCCAGATTCAGTGATCACTGTTGTGCTTTCTATCAAGAATAGATTTAACTTCTCTAGGGTTTCATATAATTATCTATGTAGCATATACTACTTACGTCTGGCTCCTTTTGTTCTTCATAATGTTTTTAAGATTTATTCATGTTGTTACATTTATCAGTAGTTTTTCACTTTTAATCATTGAATAGTACTCTATTGTATGAATATCCATCAATCCATTCATCAATTCATCTACTGCAGATGAATGTTCCATGTTTTAGGTAACAAATAACACTCAAGTACAAGACTTTGTCTATATACATATTTTAATTTCTCTTAGATACACAGGTAGCAAAATTTCTGGGTTATACAACAAATATGTGTTTCAGTGATTTCTGTCCAAATTTTTTCAGAGTGGTTGTACCATTTTACAGTCCCACAAGTAATGTAGGAGAGCTCTTGGTTGCTCTGCTTGTTTGGCAAACTTGATTATATTTAATCTTTCAAATTTTATCTGTTCAACACACATGTAATTCTCTCTCATTTATTGTGGTTTTATTTTGCATTTACCTGATGAATGATGTTGAGATTTTTTTCATGTGCCATTTATATATCTACTCAGTGAAGTGTCTATTCAAAACTTTTGCCATTTTAAAATTAGATTGATTATCTTTTTATGACTGAACTATAGCAAGATTTTTATATATCCTGGATACAAGGCTTTGGTCATATACATATAAGGATATATATCTTAAACTATATATATGTATGTGTATATATACACACACCCATACATATATATTTTACTTTTTGAATGGTGTTTTGTGGAAAGCAGAAAATATAAATTTGAGGGAGTCCAACTTACTCTTGGTTTTTGTGTTTTATTACAGATGTTCTCCAAAAGTCCTTATTTTGCTTTAATTTTTAAAACTATTTTCACTGGATATAAAATTCTGCATTCACAATTGCTTGCTTTTATCATTTTAAAGATATCATGTCATTGACTGCTTCTGGCTTAACATATTTTCCGAGGAGATTTCTGTGGTCATTCTACTTGTATGTTTCTCTGCATAACAGTTCTTTTTCCTTTGGTACCTTTTAAGATTTTTCTGTTTATCACTATGCAGAGACTGTTTAGTCACTAAAGTCTAATCTTTCTGGGGTCTCTGTTAAGTGCTCCCACTGATATGCAAGGAATAGCCCCTCTGGTTGATCAGAGCTTGTTTCCTGGGTCCTGGGGAGCTCTGGAAATGATTTCATTTATTCTCTCATGGCTCTTTTTGAATCAGGCTAGTATTAAGCAAACACTCCAGAGCGTTCCATGAAAATTTGTGAACCTGGGTCAACTCTTTCCATCCCGTTATCTTCCTGAGGTAGATAGCAGTTCCCTCAACTGCACTCTAGAAGAGGAGAGAAGAACGTCTTTGCAGCCGGACTCAAGACTCAGAGCTATGAAGGCACGCATAGAGCCTGTTTGCGTCAGGCTTCCCAGGTAGTTTTCATCGGTCAACTTCCTGGTGCTGCCTGGGATCCAGAGGAACTCTCCAGAGACCTGGCTAAAAGTCCCTACCTATGGCCTGCTGCTGCTGACAAGTGCTCAGTCGTCTCCGACTGCAACCTCATGGACTGTAGCCAGCCAGGCTCCTCTGTCCACACTTCAGTTCAGTTCAGTCACTCAGTTTTGTCAGACTCTTTGCGACTCCATGAACTGCAGCATGCCAGGCCTCCCTGTCCATCACCAACTCCCGGAGTTTACCGAAACTCATGTCCATAGAGTCGGTGATGCCATCCAACCATTTCATCCTCTGTCGTCCCCTTCTCCTCCCGCCTTCAATCTTTCCCAGCACCAGGGTCTCTTCAAACGAGTCAGTTTTTTGCATCAGGTGGCCAAAGTATTGAAGTTTCAGATTCAACATCAGTCCTTCCAAAGAACACTCAGGACTGATCTACTTTAGGATGGACTGGTTGGATCTCCATGCTAACCATCCCCATGAGGTGTGGATTTGTGATGGAGGGGCTTCCCTGATGGTTCAGAGGGTAAAGCATCTGCTTGCAATGCAGGAGACCCGGCTTTGATCCCTGGGTTAGAGAAATTCCCTGGAGAAGGAAATGGCAGCCCACTCCGGTACTCTTGCTTGGAAAATCCCATGGACAGAGGAGCCTGGTGGGCTACTGTCCATAGGGTCACAAAGAGTCAGACGCAACTGAGCGACCCCTTTCTTTTCCGAGGGGCCAGGATGCTGAGTCAGCAGGAGGCGCATGCGCAGTTCGGCATTTCTGGCCCACGCGCTTCCCTCAGTCCACACTGAGGCGCGCCCTCAGCTTCCACACCCCGCACCTACTCTCAGGCATCCCTGAACTCTAGGACTGTGCAGAGAGGGCCGGCCTAGTCCCCAGTCCATCTTCCTGGGGCCAGCAGTTACCCTCTTCCACTCCTGACACGGAGAAGAGAAGGTTCTTGTTGCCGGGAAGATACACCAGGGCCTCTGGGAGTCAGGGCTCCCAGGCGTCTCTCAGCAACGGAGGACTCTTCCTCACGTGTCCCCGGACAGCAAGACTGAGGCGCTCTCCTGAGGTAAGATTTCGGGGAAACAGGCATCTCTATTTTGAGGTGGGCTGGATCTTGGCAGCATTTTTTCCCAGAAGCCCCAGCCTACAGTCCAGCCTCTCCCGCCACTGCCCAGATCCGCCTGGGCAGCAAGCTGGATCTTGGCCTGTTGAACCCCACGGTCATCAAAATAGGCCACATCCTGTATTTGCATTTAACCTCGGAGGTGTGGTCCCCTTATAGCTATTAAATACAAATAATCTTTGTTGTTGTTTAGCCACTAAGTCATATCCGACTCTTTGCGAGCCCCATGAACTGTAGCCTGCCAGGCTCCTCTTTTAACTTAAAGAATCCACCACAAGTTTTTAATGGACTTCAGTTATCAAACATCAGAGAAGAAAAGAATTAGGGGACTGTTGTTCCTGCCTAATAGTAAGATTTTTTTACTCCTACTTGGCTCATTACTCTGGTGCAACTGAGATGTTCAATGGAAGGAAGTAATTATGATAATATTATCCAGAACAGATAAGCTGGAAATTGTTCTGTAACTTTGATACCATTTTAATTAGCAAAGCAAAACAAATCTTAGGTTCCTTTGAGAATTACAGCTGGATAACCTCCGCCTCTGTTGTGAATGAATTTCTGTGTGTATAAATTTATATTTTTCCTAGATTGATAGTGTGTTAGATGAATGTCTTAGTATTCTAACTACCATTCTAACTTAGTATTCTAACTACCATTCATCCTCTCAGTTTTCAGGTGGAAAAATTGAATAGCATTGCTTTGGCCCAAGTCTTATAGAACTTTGACTGATTTTAAATATCCTAAGATTTCTAATCACATTTTCTTTATTTCCCTGAGATAAAGCCAGGAATAAGCACACAGACCCAGTTTCAATCAATCAATTCAGTCACTCAGTCGTGTCTTGACTCTTTGCTACCCCATGAACTGCAGCACACCAGGCCTCCCTGTCCATCACCAACTCCTAGAGTCCACCCAAACCCATGTCCATTGAGTCGGTGATGCCATCCGACCCAATTAAGAGTCCCAATGCCTAAATACTTTGAATACATCCTTACAAACTTCACAAAGTATCAAGTCAGTGATTATATTAACATTACAAGCACTCTGCCTGTAAGGATGAACACCACACTAATAATGAATAAACCTAATTAGGTAGTTTAGTGGGTCAGTTTAGAAGCATATTCATTTGTTGCATCAGAATGTATTTTTTAGAAAGTAAAAAAATTACAACATACACACTCAGACTCTAAGACATTAAAAACCTGCCAGAACACTGATACTGCTGTGTGAAATACTAAGAGGCTTAGCAAGTGCTCTTATGAATAGTACTAGTAATAGCCATTTTTATAGAGTGCTTATTTTGTGCCATGTGCTTTCCTAAACAGTTTGTATGTAAATCACAGGATCCATATTACAATCCAGTGAGGAAAGGGCCATTATTATCGTGGTCATTTTATAGATTGATAAAGAGTTCAGTAACTTCCTCAAAATCACTCAGAAAATAAATATTGGAACCAGGATCTGAACTCCTAAAATATGGCTCTAGATTCTGTGCTATTATTAATTTCTCTCCCTCAGTCAGCATCTTTTAAGAGGTATATAGACAGCCTAATCTTTTTGTGCACATATACTTTTCAGAGGACTTCCCTGGTGGCTCAGATGGTAAAGCGTCTGCCTGCAATGTGGGAGACCCGGGTTTAATCCCTGGGTGAGGAAGATCTTCCGGAGAAGGAAATGGCAACCCGTTCCAGTATTCTTTCCTGGAAAATGCCATGGACAGAGGAGCCTGGTAGGGTACAGTCCACTGGGTTGCAAAGAGTTGGACACGACTGGATTGAGTGACTTCACTTTCACTTTCACTTTTCAGAATGGGTACCAAGTGTGAAGATAACTTTTGTTATAAGCAGATGCCCTGCAAAGTCATCTGCTGTAGAGGAAGCTTCAATAACCCAGCCAACGAGCTGCTCACCGGGTTGTGAGGGACATCACCTAGACAAGTAAGTTTCCTGTTTTTCTTCCCCATATTTCAGCCACTCCAAAGCTTCTTGTTGTGAGCATCTCCCCCACCCCATGCAAACCTATCCATGCTCTGCCCAGTAAGGTTTGTGTGTGCTTCTGCCACCTTGTGGTATTGTTCCTTGATTAGCTCTGAAATGCCCTACACTTGATACATAGTTTTCATTTGATCATGTTTTTTATTCCTTATTCCTCCTTTCTTGTCTTCTTTTGCATTAGCTGAGTATATTTAATTTTTCCATTTTTCCTTTTCCATTACCTTTTTAGCTCTTTTTCATAGTGGTAATGTATAGGGACTCTAATATGCATTTTTTTATTATATTACTGTCTACCTTCACTTAGCGCATTTGTCACTTCTAAATGCAGGTGCCTTCAAAGAGTTTAACTTCCTTAAACAGCAGGCCTGCCTTGTGTGCTCATGTTGTCGTAAATTTTACTTCTGCACTTGTGATTTGTCTTACAGGACATCATTGTTATTCACTGAAGTAGAAAATATTTATTTGTATTTACTTTTTCTCATTTGATCATGTTTTTTATTCCTTATTCCTCCTTTCTTGTCTTCTTTTGCATTAGCTGAGTATATTTAATTTTTCCATTTTTCCTTTTCCATTACCTTTTTAGCTCTTTCTCATAGTGGTAATGTATAGGGACTCTAATATGCATTTTTTTATTGTATTACTGTCTACCTTCACTTAGCGCATTTGTCACTTCTAAATGCAGGTGCCTTCAAAGAGTTTAACTTCCTTAAACAGCAGGCCTGCCTTGTGTGCTCATGTTGTCGTAAATTTTACTTCTGCACTTGTGATTTGTCTTACAGGACATCATTGTTATTCACTGAAGTAGAAAATATTTATTTGTATTTACTTTTTCCAGTGTTTGTGTTCACCTCAGAAATTCTGTGTGGAAATATATGGTTATATTTATTTAATATGAAAAATATAATTTCCTGTAGTATAGGCTGACTGCTTGTGTATCTGCTCAACTTTTATTTATCTGACATGTCTTTACTTCATCTTCACTTTTGGAGGACATTTTTGCTAGAGAGAAATCTCTAGGTAACTTGTCTTCTTTTTGATCACTTTAAAATGCTCCATTGTCTTCTGCCTTCCATAGTGATGATGTCCATTAAGTTTTAAGTTTTATTTTTGTTCTTGTGAATGCAAAATGTGGCTGCTCTTAAAATTTTCTCTTTATATTTATTTTTTGGCAATCAGACTAATAACTAACTGGTAACTAAAATATCTAAATCACCTGTAAATTTCTCTTCTCTATTTTTGTTTGATCTGGGGTCATTTCTTTCTTTTCTTTATTGCTTTCTTCATATATTTGGATTGGAGGAATATAGTAGAAATCCTAAGTGATGTCCTCTTCCTCCAGGTGGGCTAAATTTTCTTTTGGAAAACAACCAGAGCACTCTCGGATCACCTTGGTCCTATTGAGGCTTGGAGTTTATCTTTGTTAGGGCTAGTTATTTTATTTTTTATTTTATTCCAGTTCAGTTCAGTTCAGTCGCTCAGTCATGTCCGACTCTTTGCGACCCCATGAACTGCAGCACGCCAGGCCTCACTGTCCATCACCAACTCCCAGAGTCCACCCAAACCCATGTCCATTGAGTCGGTGATGCCATCCAACCATCTCATCCTCTGTGGCCCTTAATATTAGAGCATAGCCTTCCTGGGATCTCAAATTAAAGCACTGGGTAGTAACCAGAGCCACCCCACCTTGGCAGGGTTTGAGCTCCAACTCTTCTCTCTAAATCATGTGGCTACTGCCATCTCTGCTTTAGCATTTTAACCTCCCAGATGCTATTTCTAAGTTAAAAAAAATTTTTTTTTGAGTCTTACTCTGTGAGTGCATGGTAGAAGTCAGCCAGTGATTTAGGGGAGATTTGTATACTAATATTTGAGCCCTGTCTCTGAGGTTTTCTTCTCCCCCGGTGGTTGTTCACTAAATCTGAGCCAGCATGGTAGCACCAGCATCTGGCCTCAGTCCTCTCAGGATAGTAAGACTTGCACTTTGGGCTTCTGCTGTATCCCTGGTCTGCTATTTCATTACATACTTCCCTTTTCCCAAAGATTTTAGCCCTTCAATCCCTGTCTAAGTTTGATGCTTTCCAAAACTTTCAGATCCATGTTTTATAGATCTTTTCCCACTTTTATAGTTATTCTGTGCTGGAAGGTTAGTCCAAAACAGGCTATTCTACTCTGGCTGGAACCAAAAAGTTACAAATGTTTGTTTTTATAAGCTGTATTTTATTTGGAAGAGGCAATGTAACCCAGGACAACAATAAAAGAAAATGAGAGTTTCTAAAGTTATATCATGAAAAGTACGTTACTTTGACACTCAACTTCCCTTTATAAATTCAGCCAGACCTCATATGGCTTAACAATCATAGATCTGCATGTCTTTGTTTGTATTTGTGGACTTGTGCATACATGCAATGTGAACTCTTAACCACTGTGCTACTCTAAGAAATTAATATTTCCTCATTAATTTGAAACATTTTTGCCTATCATTTTTCTTTTTTGCTTTTAAACTTGGATTTGTGTGTTGTTAAATTTCTTAGATCTTTTCCTTAATGGTTTCCGATATTCTGCTTAGAGGAGCAATTCTTACTTCAAACATATATTAAAAAAAAAAATTCAATGTTTTCTTCTAGCATTTTAAGGTTTTTGTTTGTTTAAATATTGGATCAATCTAAAATTTATTTTGGTATAAGGACTGAGGAAGGAGAAATCCAACTATATTTTTCCAAATGGCTATCCATTTTTCCTAACACTGTTGTTTGAATAATTCACCTTTCCCACATAAATTTGAAAATGCTGCCTTATTTGAACTAAATTTCCATAAATATTTAATATAATTATTGCCTGTATCTTCTGATCTATTGATCTAGCTATCTAGCAGCCAGTACTAACTTGTTTTATTAATTTGTTTTGTAATATATTTTAATGTTTGGTGAGGCTTACTACTCATGTTTTTAAAAAACTTCCCAGCTAGTCTCACGTGTTAATATTTTCATAGGAAGTGTAAAATCATTTTTTCTTTTTTGCCAGTTAAATAGTCCAGTTTGAGAAACAGGTTTAATTTTGGATACTTTACGCTTTTGGTTACAATTACAGTTCCTGCTTGCCATATTTTCTACTTTTTATTAAACTGAATCAGTAATATCCCCAGAGCCTATGATGGGAGGTCATATGTCATATGCATTTCATGATGTGGTGACTTTCTTTCTCTCCCTGTACACATCCTCATTGCCCAGCAGAATCCTTTTGGAAGAGATCATCCTTTTCTCTTTCTGCCTTGTTACACGATAACTCTGACCCTTATAATAGGACTTGAGTGTGAAAGTCGCTCAGTCGTGTCCGGCTCTTTGCGATCTCATGGACCATACAGTCCATGGAATTCTCCAGGCCAGAATACTGGAGTGGAGCCTTTCCCTTCTCCAGCAGATCTTCCCGAGCCAGAGATCAAATGCAGGTCTCCCACATTGCAGGCAGATTCTGTACCAGCTTAGCCACAAGGGAAACCCCAAGTAGGACTTAGATGACATGAATGCATAAAACATGTTACAGAGGAGTACATGATATAAATAGGCAAGAAGTTGTCATCAACACTGAGAAGAGTAAGGTGGCCTAGTATCTTTCAACATCGAGAACTGTTGAGCGAATGTTTTCACCCAGTGTTAGGCTCTCATTATGTCTTCTGTAAATACGTATTGTGTTGGGATATGCACAAAGTCTAAAACTTCGCAGTTCGCATCTTTTAAGTTATGATTCCAACCTATATTTTATGAAAGTGATAAACACAAAAAAGCTCATTTAATATTTAATTTTTCTTTCACATATTTTATAGAGGAAAATGATCTTAATTTGATTGTTAGTCTTATGAATGTGTCACATAATAATTCTTCAAGTTCCAGTAATGTCTTAAAACTTACAGGCTCTTTTCCCATATAGTATTTGAGTCTGACAAAACCTCCATGAAATAGATGTTTATATTTCCATTTTATAAATAAGAAGAGCAGAAACAGAGATGTTAAATGATTTTTTTAGATGATTTTAGATTAAAACTCTACTCACTGAACTCCAAAATGATTTGAAAATAAAATAAAACACTTCTGTTTTAAATATAATTGCTACTAATTTTGTTTATTAAAAAATTTATTAAGAACCTATGGCAGTGATTCTGAAATTTTCCATGCATTTATATATATTTTTTTCACAGAGTTATCAGATATATACTAGAGACTATTTTAAATATCTGTCAGTGCTTGGAGAAAATCCTTCATTCATCTGATTGATGCCATATTTAAATACAGGGTTACTGCAGTCAGGTAAATAGGGTGGACACTTAGATTGAAAAGTAATGAGTTATTAAGTTTTGCTGACAAGTTAACAGTGGAGAGCTTTCATTGTTTCAGGTCATAGGGGGAGCCTAAGATCTGGAAGATCAAAAGTGTTGGGAAATTAAGTGGTTGATGAATTAGGCCAGTGTCTGGAATAGCTAAAGTTTATAAATAAGAAGAGCAGAAACAGAGATGTTAAATGATTTTTTTAGATGATTTTAGATTAAAACTCTACTCACTGAACTCCAAAATGATTTGAAAGTAAAATAAAACACTTCTGTTTTAAATATAATTGCTACTAATTTTGTTTATTAAAAAATTTATTAAGAACCTATGGCAGTGATTCTGAAATTTTGCATGCATTTATATATATATATTTTTCACAGAGTTATCAGATATATACTAGAGACTATTTTAAATATCTATCAGTGCTTGGAGAAAATCCTTCATTCATCTGATTGATGCCATATTGAAATACAGGGTTACTGCAGTCAGGTAAATAGGGTGGACACTTAGGTTGAAAAGTAATGAGTTATCAAGTTTTGCTGACAAGTTAACAGTGGAGAGCTTTCATTGTTTCAGGTCATAAGGGGAGCCCAAGATCTGGAAGATCAAAAGTGTTGGGAAATTAAGTGGTTGATGAATTAGGCCAGTGTCTGGAATAGCTAAAGTTGATAAAGTAAAATAAACATAATTGAACTACAAAAACAGTGATAATGCAGAAAAGGATAATAGTCTGGACAGGTTTATTTGTCTGTGGTGTCAAAGAAAAATGTATGGTTCAGCAGCCCTGAAAGCTTGTTTAGGATCAGTGCAACAAAGATAAGTGTGTTACTGTGTACCTTGTCTACATTACTCCAGGAGTATTTATCACTATACCTTTCCTTGTTGAAAAAGTAGTATTAACCGAAATGCTTGACTTTCTCATTGTTTTGTGTATAAAAGAAGTAGTGATCTATATGATCTGGTGTGGACCCACCTAAGATCATCTAAGAGGATATTAGTTTATTGCTATGTAGTATCTACTTTGATGATTCATATTTCAACCTTTATGAGACTTGTTACATTATAAATCAGGGATTCATTGAATACTTACATATTATAATCATTAATTTTTTATTCATAGAGTAGAGTTTATAAATACATGTACATTTTTGGTTTTTGTACAAGAACACACACATAGTATGTGCATAGTAAAAACAATTTATGTATGATTGCAAGACCAGACCAATAAATTTATTTCTTATGTATGCATTTTTTCTTTTTATCTGCACATACTCTGTTCCCTTACAATACCACAGATGAAAAAATGTTAAAATTATAGCATTTGACATGTAATACAATCAGTGTGAAACTTGACAAACATTTGAAAAATCAGAATATAAATTAGGAAATCTGTAATGTGTTCTTTATCAACAGGTATTATTAAATATCAACTTTATTGCATTTACTGTCTTTTCTTTATATGAGTCATTTTTTTAAAAACATTTAAACATTTTTCTTATGGCAATTGAAGAAATATAACAATCCACAAAAAAAAGAAGAAATGTTCCTCCACAGTGGGGAAAAAAAAATTAGACCAACCCACAGATAATTTCTGCTGGTTCTAATGGCTCTTCCCCAGCTCTTTTGGTCAATATGACATTCTGTTTGACAGTAGCCTTCAGTTAGCACTGCCAGAGAAAGCTAGCCTGGGCACACACCAGCCAAATACTCTTCCACGTCTTCACACGCTGAGTAAATCTTTGCTTACTGGCAGCCTTGCCCACCGGTTGGAGCACTTGACTGGAAAGGAGAAACAGATATAGATGTGAAAACTTGGGCTAGAGTGAAAGAGGAGAAATGGAAAAGTTCAGGGAAAAACAAGGGCAAAGGATTTGAGAATTCGTTTCCATAAAAATAAAACCTAAAAAAATTTTAGAATGATGAATCAAAGAAACGTTCCTGTGTAATTCACACAGGAACACACAACGGTTGCTTCCAAGGATTTTAAAAGCAAAGCAATACAATGAAAAAATGTTTAGATAGAAGTCAACAGTATTGAGTTTTTGCAAGTTATTTGCACTTAGAAAAACTTTTGCAAGAGCAAAATGAAGGGTTACTTCCCGGAAAACATGCTACTGTAATAAACAAGGAAGCACAGTCTTTGTTCTAAACTTTATGAGCCAAAATTTAGCCTATATGCTATTATTTAGGCAATTTAAATTATATGAATATTTAATTATAGGGTAATAACCTAAGTAAAGCATGAATGAATTCCTGAGTATTACCATAACTAACATAAATATTGAAACAATATTTATTTTCTGTTATTGTCTAGATGCATATACTTTATAGCATAATGAAATGGATAAAACCTAAAAGATTTCATTTTTGGAAAGATGGCAGTAAGGATCAGGGACCAGTAATTAAGCCTTTGGAAGACAAGTAAGTTTTTAAGAACATTATTGAAAATAATTAAAAATATAGATGAAAATATTTAAGATTCTTAATGCCACATGCTTCCTGTCCTACTGCCATTTTTAAGTAAAAGCCTTCTATAAGTAAAATGTACACAGGTAATTAAATTTGTGTGAGAATAGAACAACCAACTACTCTCTGTCTTACAGTATCAATAAGTGACTAACTATGAATGGATAAGACATGAAAATCTGGCTAATAATAACCCTTCAATTAGTTTTGTCTAGAAAGACGCTATACAGGAAAGGATAGACAGGTACATTTTCATAAGTGTCAGTTGTTCAAGGAGAAGTTTAGATATCTTGGCAGAGCTGGATGTTTCATGTAAAGGATTAAAGCAAGACAAAATGTTGCATAAAGAATTAGAGCAATAGAACAATAAGGCGTAAAATAAAAGAATGCCCTTAATGTGAGTAAGTTACATTGAAGACAAGACAGTTAAAGAGAGCAAATGGGAATAATGGAATGGGTATCAAGGGTGAAAGATCATGGTCTGAGATAGGGTATCTAGAAGATAAATGTATCCCTGTACACTAGTAGTAGGATAGATGTAGCTGGTGAAGGAATGAGTTGAGAGATCAAGTTAAGAAACTCGCCCCAAGAGTTTGGGGGAGAATTGATACATGTATATGTGTGACTGAATTCCTTCACTGTTCACCTGAAACTATCACAACAGTGTTCATTAATCGGCTATATACTAATACAAAAATTTTTTAAATAAATAAAATCCATAAAAAAGGAACTCTCCCCAAATGCAGCAAGATCATATAAAGTTATAGAAAAGATATGAGAATTGGTAAGAGAGAAGCCAGAAATAGAAATATATAAATCCATACAGAAGCTTCAGAAAGAGAAGAAAATAAAAGTAAAAAAAATTTGAAGAAATAATTTACCTAAAATTTTCCAAGGTTAAAGAATACATATGAAAGACTTGAGATTGCAAGTATTCAGAGAGGAAAATTCTTACTTAGTATAGTGAATTCTAAGAATATCAAAGTCAAAGGGAAAATTCAAAATATTTTCAGAGAGAGTGAAAAGACCTAGGAGAGAATGAGTTTCAGATTAACATTAGGCATTTCAGTAGCACCACTGGGTACAAAATTTCAAAGAGGTAATATTTTTAAGTTTTGGAAATAACTTAGAATTTTCTATTAAATTAAAATCTGAGGATATAATAAAATTAAATTCAAATGTGAAGATATAGTATTCTCTGGAATGCAATATCTCAGAAGGTTTTACATACAGAGGCATATATGGAAAACACTTGTAGATGTGCTCAAGTAAGAAAAGAAACCAGTACAAGGGTACAGTACTACAAGAAGTATGGTAAGTGTATTAGTTTCCTATCGCTGATGTAAGGTAGCGTATTCACAGGGTCTAGACATCACAGTAATTGGACATCATCGGTAAGAAGACTACTATTCAGTCTACCACATAACAAAGTATTCAGATATTTTGTTATGCTTTTATTCTTTAAAAAAGAAAATAGGACTTATAGTTCTGCCAGGATAGAGTAGCCCTATTCCTCCCAGGTCTTCCCCCTTATTACTAAAAGTCTGTGGATGCATTACAACAATGACTCATAGGAAATTTCTCAAAGGAGGAAAGAAAAAGGCAGGTTGCTTAGGAAACTCAGGACTTGAGAGAATCCTTGGGGGTGAGTTCCCTAGGTTTCTTTATTGCTTCATCCTAACATCCTGCTGAGGGTGTCACAAAATCCTCTAACCTGGAGACATCTAAGGGTACAGATTTTTTTGGAAAACATTCCAAGAAAAGGGTAGCCTGACAGAGAAAACGTTTTTGGTAATATATCCTATACTCAAACATGAACATAACAACTGCCCCTTTCCTCATGGTTTCAGAGAAGCAGAAGGTGAGGTTGATCCTTCAACCCACACCTGCCTTACAGAATCCAGTGATGCTCTGACTGTCATCCTGAGTGCTGACAGGGTCAGGAGGCAGCTGACCTTCCGTCTTCAACCAGCTGAAGCAGGAGGTGTTTCCGTTCCTTTGCTGGGGCACTGGCAGTGAGGCTGAGCAGAAAACTGATCTCTATTCCACTTCCGGCAGAAGCAGGCAGCTTCCCTCAGGTGCTGTGACCAGGTAGTGTCAGTGTGATCCGTGGTAAGGTGAGCCTCCACTGCAAACTGATGTCAGAGAAACCGAACAAGGTCCTCTTCTCCAGATCAGTAAGTCTCAGGGGGTAGGGAGAGTCTCTGTTGTTCATGCACTTCCTCATGTCTGACTCTTTTGTGACCCCCATGGATTGCAGCTTGCCGGGCTTCCCTGTCCTCCAGTGTCTCCTGGAGTTTGCTCAAACTCATGTCCATTGAGTCAGTGATGCCATGCAACGATTTCATCCTTTGTCACCCCCTTCTCCTCAGTCTTTCCCAGCATCAGTGTCTTTTCCGATGAGTCGACTCTTCACATCAGGTAGCCACAGTGTTGGAGCTTCTACCTTCACCCAGAATCAGTGAGGCAAAAAGAAGTGGTAATAAGTAGGGCAAGTCTGTCTTCTGCTTTTCCCTCTGGTGCCATGAGGCCCAGTGGGGAGCTGAGTTTATATCCCTGCTTGGAGGCAATGGTGCTGCACTAGTAGGCACCCCACTTGTATGGGGTGGTATCAGGGAGGCTGAGTAAGAAGCTGATTTAAATGCCTGCTTGGCCTTTGTGCTGTATTCCAACATGGGAAATGTCTGCTACAAATATAAATACAAATACATACACAGATTTATATATTCCAGTGTCTTACAATATCTGAAAGTCTAGAATTCAATAAAAATCATATCAAGAACTAGGTGAGTTTCCGACTATGGATGAGAAAAGACAGTCAACAGATGGCAGCAAAGAAACAAATCAAATGTTGGAATTATCTGACAGAAATCTTAAAATAGCTATCATAAAAACACGTAAACAAACAGATCAAAATTCTCTTGGATGAAAAAAATAGAAAATTTAAGCAAAGAAAACATCAAAAAGGAACTAAATGGAAGTCATTGGCTTGAATAAGACGGTAGTTAAATGCGTAACTCTCTGATGGGTTCAGTAGTAGAGTAGAAATGTCAGAGGAGAAAATAGGTGAACTTCAGTACATATCAATACGATTGACCTGACTTTAAGTAACAGAAAATAGACTGAAAAAGGTAAAGAAGCCTGGGACTGTGGGACCAAAACTAAAGAGCTAACATTCATATTATTGCGTCCCAAAAGGAAGGGAGAAAAAGAGTACGGCTAAAAATAATGACTCTGCTCTGCAAAAGACCCTGTTAAGAGAATGGGAAGACAAGTTACAGGCTAGGAGAAAAATACTTGCAAAACACATGTTGATAAAGGAAAAATTATCCAAAATATACAAAGAACTCATAAAACTCAACAACAAGAAATCAAACAATCCAATTTAAAAATGGGCAAAAGATCTGAATAGACCGAAAGAAAGTAAGTAAAGTCACTCAGTCCTGTCTGACTCTGTGGCACCATGGACTGTAGCCTACCAGGCTCCTCTGTCCATGGGATTTTCCAGGCAGGAATACTGGAGTGGGTTGCCACTTCCTTCTCCAGGGGATCTTCCCGACCCAGGGATCGACCCTGGGTCTCCAGCATTGCAGACAGACGCTTTACTGTCTGAGCCACCAGAAGATACACAAATGGCAAAGTATGGAAAGCTGCTCAATATCATATGTCATTAAGAAATTTCAAATTAAAATGACTATAAGATATCACCACACAACTATTAGAACTAGAGAGAATCCAAAAAAAAAATGCTGATATCGCCAAAGGCTAGGGAGTATGTGGAGCAACAGACACTCTCGTTCATTGCTGATTGGGATGCAAGTTGTACAGCCACTTTAGAAGACAATATCTTCTTCTTTCTTTTTTAACAAGACTAGGTATACTTTTGCCATATGATCCAGCACTTATACTCCTTGGTGTTTAACCAAATGAGATCAAATCTTATCTTCACATAAAATCTGCACATGGATGTTGATAGCACATATATTTATAATTGCCAAAACTTGGAAGCAACCAAGATGGTCTTAAGCAGGTGATTGGATAAATTGTATATATCCAGACAATGGAATATAATTCAGTGCCAAAAAATCAATGAGAAAAAAATGTTTTGTAGAAAGTTTTGGGAGAACTGGTTTATGATATGAAGAAAGTTAAAAATGATTCCAACCTAACCTAGTATTCACAGATGAAAATCCAATGAATTAATGTTGGATGTCTTAAATAGAAAAGGTAAAATACTAAAGATAATAAAACTAACGGAGAGAGTGTATCTTTGCTATCTAGATGGGAAAAATAACTTACTAAAACTTCCAGATCACAAACCAAGTGGATTATTTTAATCATATGCAAATCAGAATTTTCTATTTAATAAAGAATACCAAAGGAAAGAAATTGATAACTATCAGAATGAGAGAAAATGTTCCTAATGTCTAGAATTGATAAGGGATTAAGATCTAAAATATGCAAAAGTCCATTAAAATTGTATAAAATACAACAATCCCAATGGAAAAATAGGCAAAAGATTAATTTGTCAGAAGAAATAAAAAAATCTCACCAAAATATGAAGATACACTCTAACTCATAAGTGGAAAATACCTGTTACAACATACTCAGGTATCAGTTACACCTATTGGACTAGAAAAAATAGAAAACTGGAGAATGTAGTGTGTGGGTGGGAGTTAAGATATAGGACCTTTGCTAATGCAAAATCTGACTACTGCAACCATTCTTAAAGCTGTCTGTCAGTATTTAGTCAAAGTCTGTATGTGTATATCCTATCTGTCCATCTTCCCTGACAGATTTTTACTTGCCCATTTATAGTTGGGGAGTTGATTTCCTAATTTGGTACAATTTGTGAATTAATCTGCTTGGTTATTTTTGTGAGTTTAGTCACCCCCTTTTTTCTATTTTTTCCTCCCTCTTTCCACTGTGCCTCAC